GACTTCACGTAACCTGTTAATGCTCGACAGTTCGTTGCTATTGTAACCTGAAATTCTCTAATGACAATTATAAATCTCACACACACAAAAACATTCTGTGTTACATGTGACATGATATAAAAATTGGTCTTATCGTTAAACTAACTAAGACAGAGGCCATGTTCATGAAGGAAGCAGTCCGATACGCGAGGCGTGCTCTTTTGTTGTATGGCTCCTTCAGATAAAACAAAAAGAAAAACAAACTTCGTGGCTTTAGTCCGCAAGCGAACTATAACGACCGAGCGACCTCCGCTTATGGGCGAAGTTAGTGCCAACTTTTTGCGGATAGATGGTGTCACGTGGCCAGCGCAACGGATCCCCACGGCCGTTAATTTCGGTTTTCTAGACCGGAGCCGTTATTTCCTTGAAAGAGCTCCTCAATTATCCTCACGAGGCTGAGTGGACCCCGTTCCAGACCCACTACTTCTCAGAAAATCTGGTAGCGCAGGAAATCGAACCCGGGACCTCTGGATTTGTAGCCACGAACTCTGACCACTAGATCACAGAAGATAAAAAAGTAAAGCTGTCGCTGCGATTAATTAAATAAGCACTATGCCATGAAGACATATGAGCGAGTGGAGGTATAGCTCCACCATTCTTGACCTCGGCACTAGATGTAGGTTAATAGTAAGCTTCACGCTTAGGCCGCTTTACCCCAGGGGAATGAGCCCTCAGTATCCATTAGATAGAAGGCTGTGTTGGCCCCAGAGCCTGTGTGGACGCTGCGCAGAAGAGAACAGAAATCAGATCAGTAACCTTCCTTGTAGACATGTCGTGACACTTTCAATCGCAAAGCTTCTGTATTGTTTGGAAGAGATAAGAAGACGCTAGAAAGCGTCGGACAAACACACGTGACAAGCGTGCAATTTATGTACATCGTTCAAAGAGCACACACACACAGCATCGCTGCATTTCGATTACAAATCGCAGCATAATCGTAATCAACAGGTCACATAGTTCGCACTTGCGATCAACAGGAAGCGCTGTCAGTTCATGCAAGAAGGGGATTCACTGAACTCTATTCGCGATACCGCACACAAAACTTGCTGATATCTGGCTGGCCTACTTAAGTTAACTAACATGTGCAATGTAGTGGCTTTCTGTCCCTGCGTACCTTCATGTCCTCAAGCGCCCTCTTTTCACCCTGCCAGGATTTCCCATTATTTCCGGTTTTTTTTCTTCAAGTATGAGAAAGTTACGAGCCTTCTGGAAAACGTTCCTACGCAAATCCGAGATAATCATGCATCTAAGCTCACATGACACCAAAAATTAGGTGAAAGTCATGATTATTATCTCGGATTAATTGATCTATTCATCGATCAACCTATGATTAATCTATTCAGAAACTCGAGAAAGGCATATTCATCCTAATCGTTGGTACTTGTCAACAAATTAATCCCATAACACCGATATCTCGAACCCCAAACTCAGGCGCCGAACGCCAAACCTCTTCCTTGTGATCTAGGACAAGCCCTTCTTGAGGCTGTCTTACACAGAGATAAGGCACTCCCGGTTTCAGAATAAAAGAGTTCTGAATTCAGCGATATGGAAACCACGTGCATGGCGTTACTTAAATGGAGAGTAACTTCGCTGACGTCAGAGCCACACTTGTAACTAAGAGTACAAAAACATCGATTCCATATTGCTACAGCAGTCTGACATGGCCGAGCAATGCGGGCATCGGGCGCACTCTGTGGTCTTTGAGCCTGGAAACATGAACCGAGAAATTTACATGATTTCTTCTGTCCTGATAAATCGACATTTCGTACCTCATTACTTACTTACTTACTTATGGAGCTGAGCCCTTCTTGAGAAGTCAAATCTGCATCTACTCAAGAATTTCCCAGCATTTTATGGAACCCGAAGGTTCATTACCGTGTTCACAGGAACCCTCCACTGGTCCCTATCCTGAACCAGATCAATCCAATCCATACCATCCCATCCTATCTCTCTAAGATCCATTTTAATATTGTCCATCCACCTACGCCTTGGTCTTCCCAGTGGTCTCTTTCCTTCTTGCTTTCCCATCAATATCCTATATTCATTCCTCTTCACCCCCATTCCTGCTACATGCCCTGCCCACCTCATCCTCCTTGACTTGATCATTCTACGAGTAATTACACTTGGAGAAGAGTACAAGTTATGAAGCTCCTCATTATGCAGTTTTCTCCAACCTCCTGTCACTTCATCTCTCTTCGGTCCAAATATTCTCCTCAGCACCCTGAGTCTACGTTCCTCCCTTAATGTCAGAGACCAAGTTTCACACCCATACAGAACCACAGGCATAATTATAGTTTTGTATATTCTAATTTTTATGTTTTTGGACAGCAGACATAGCATTCAGATATGTCCCACATATTCTTCAAGCGAAACTCATACAATAAATGCATAAAGCTCACATGCGTCAATTCGAATGTGATCTCAAAAAAAAGGTACTAACATATTGTCGGGTGTTGCCTACATAACGTGACAGGTCTCGGATTTAACGAATAGGCTTATTGAACGCTCACTTTCACACCAGCAATTACAATTATTATCACGTTCAGTAACACAATTCTTCTTGCATCGTTAATCTCGGTGAAACGTCTGTTCTCAGCGGCTGCTAGACTCCAACTGCCCGCTGTCAACTGCCAACTAACTGTCTGGACCCTTCGAAGTTGGACTTTTATAAGTTGGTTTCGGACGGAATAGAGAACACTTTCGCCCAGGGTTCGATTTCACGTGTTCTATGCTTGTTACCGCGGAAATGCAGTATTCCTGCTGTTTCAAGAATCCGTTGCCTAGGTAATGCTAGCCTTACTCAATACAGAACACATTGTAGAAGTGTTTGGTTTCATCCGCTGTTACGCAACGAACCCTCTGTTGTCCTTTCGTCTCCGGGGAAACCCGTTTGTTGTTTAGGCTGTTCCTATGCAGCGGCCCACTGCTATTGCGTTTCCATGGAAGTATCCACTCCGGATCACTGTAACAGACCCATAGGGTGGAAGCTGTCACACTGTCGACAATCGGCTCACAGACGGCGGTGAAGTTCAGCCTTACGCGCCGGCCATCCTTTACCCCCAGGAATATGCATGGACCGAGAGCCTCGACGTCTTACAGTCCCATGGGACTCCGCGGCCTGTTACAGGGATAGCTTTACCTAGCGAAATCTTAATTTACATTTGAACATGGGCCGTTAACAATGAAATTTATGTCCGTTTATGCAGAACTGCATAAATACGTTGCTTAGCAACAAACAGCTGAACCACGAGGTGCGATTCCGCTTCCCCTTTAGTTTCCGAATGTGGCAGCTGTTCCTGATTGCGCTGTTTCCGTCATTCTGTTCTGATGAGATGCAATCACTTGTTTGCTATCTCAACGAGTTTCAAAGCGGAATAATGTGTTTGTTCTCGAGTGACTTACGTGTTCATTCCAGTGTTCTGTAAATGGTTTCTAAACAAACCCGCAACGTTCACGTGCAAATGCGCGTGCTTATGGCCACCGGAAAGCCGTGAAGTGGCGCCTCTATCGGCGTTCCTACGAACTCGTTGGAACTGACGCGGAGCGGACTTGACATCACTATTTTGTATAAGAGATGAGAAGATCGAAAAACGAATTACTAGGGAGGAAGAAAATTTTAAGGAAAAATATTCCGATATAAGACAGAAGTGGAGAGGATTGTGCGTTGGGCCGAGGAATATGTTCAAGTAAAGCGACAAGGCGACTAGGTACAAACCGCAATAGGAGAGCTGGAGCTTTTTATTTTCACCACCACGTCCTGAACGACCCTGGGACCTACTCAATTTCTTATCTAATGGACACCCGGAGGGGGGGGGTGAAAGGGAATACAGGGCCGGAGATATGTGGTCAACATGTGGAGCTTTATCTCTACCACACGAGTGCATATTCGTCGTGGCATAACAGCAGCAGACATAGCCATGCCTTTAAAGAAAAGGAACTTCTTTTATAGCGCTGATTCATTCTTAGGGTTTAAATGATGCTCTCACAACTATATAAGTTATCAAATGGGCTATATGAGGTCGAATGATCTGGAAACATACCCATGGAATTGTAAGGATTTGGAAGGAGTCGGTGGAAGTTTTGTTTGAAGAAAATATACTACATATTATTCGACTGTATTATGGGTGCAAACGCTGGACAATAAAAGCAAGAGACGGAATCAGAATTACAGCTTCTGAAATGGAATTTATGAGACGAACAGCGAAAACAGAACTGGACAGACCATGAAGTGGGG